CACACTTGTGTTTCAATTTCTTCCGGTAGGCGCTTCATAGCTTGTTTTTCTACGAGGTTGCACTTGGAACCAGTGCTTTTCCTATCAAATTTGCACCACGGTTTTTGTGAGCAATGTTTGATGCTTCTTCGGGTTTTCTGTTTGCTACTCTGTCTGTGGTTATGCCGCGTTTGTCAGAAGTTCAGTTAATATTCCGTTCAACCAATTATGCTGCTCAAGGCGCGCCTGCCTTTGATTTGTCGGCTGCTGAGAGGCCAACGATTGCCGCTGCTGCTGTTGCTGCTGAGGCAACAGTGATTGCCTTCGCTGTTGATGCTGAGGCGACGGTAGCTGCCTCTGCTGCTGTTGCTGCTGCTGTGCTGGAGAGAATGTAGTGCATGCTGCTATTCCATGCGGAAATTGCAAAATAAAAAATCCGGGGGGTCATGAAAAGCCTTCAGTCTCCCGTGGTTTACAATTAGGAGGCCTATTATACCAAAGTTTTTAGCGATGTACCTACACTGGCATCTAATGGATATCACCCTCCTAAGAAATCCCAGGTATAATATCAGCGCTTGTGATGATCGGCGATTTGGGTACTAACAACGATACACGGCAGAGGCACAAACGAAGGAGGTGCTGGCCAGCCTCTGCCTCACTTAGAGCAGACTCACACTAGGCACCCTAAATCGCAGAATCGCAAAATCAGCAGCCAGATGCAGTCCTCCTAATCGAGGAACTCGATCTGGCCGTTCATTTTGCTATTCTGTGATTTTGAGAGCCTAGTGTGAGTTTACTCTTATTTTGACAAAATCGACGATTTAAGTAATCATCTAGAAATGGTCACTGTTTCGATACGAAAAAAAGATGACGACGGACACATTTCAAAACAAAGAAAGAGACCACATTTGAGCGCAGAAAAGCCCTACATACGGGGAAGGCAGACGGGGGGGGGCAGAAAAGACCCACAGACAGGGGGGAAGAGGGGGCGCCCGGAGGAGAGGGATTTTGAGAGTTTCTACATGCTTGAAGTACCCCCGGCAGGTGGACGGCTAGGCAACCGGCAAGGATGCCCAGCCGGCCAAACAGGTCTGGCATCCTAGATGAGAAGATATTTATATGTATATAGGTTCAGCCTCCTGATGAGTCGGTGAAACTCTGACGAAACAGTTTGTTACAGCCCCTCGTTTGTTGTCCTCTTCTCCCTCTCTGCCTACGGTTTACCGGGCAGTTCTATTTGACGATATATAGTCAAACATATATATGTAGTCAAACACTGCACGGTCCTCCCCTAGGAGAGAAGAATGCAAGGACGTCCAGCGACCATGAGCAGTCTGGTCTTCGACTGTCCGTGCAAGAGCAAGGTGTGGTGGGATATAACTGCCACCATCGCGGGGATGAATTTTACCCAGCACAACGCGGTCCAAACATCCACGAAACGGCTGCAGTGGTTATTCTGCCACAGCTTGCTCTTGTTCGCGTTGTTGATGCACTCATTTCCACCTCCCCTGCACTCATTTCCACCTCCCCTGCACATATATCCCTATGACCAGTTCCTCCCCGCTCAGTACTGATTAGCCTGTCAAATCAGCCCCCTGCAACAGTACGCAGCCTTCGACACATGAGCAACCCGCAGTGCAAACGTTTATCGAAGCAATTGCACTCTTCATAGGTCCTTGCACTCTGCAGTGGCAACGGTGACGTGAAATGTTGTGTTCGGCGGGAGAATCTATCGTGTACCCTCAACTTTCGCTATCCAACACGACAACAATGACACAGTACGCTGAAGCTACAGCGGCTACAGGACCATACGTGTGACGAACATTGTGCCTTCACGTCACACACATCACGCAATTACAGCCCTGAGTCCGACGCTCAACGAAACTGGATGAATGACACTCCTGACCGGAATTACGGAGGCCCCATCAGTTTTTTCAACGATGACGCCTCAATGTTATCACCCTTTGTTTTTTTTGTTTTTTTTTCTCCCCAAGGTTGTCACCCTCGCCCTTAAAAGGAGAAGAGAAAAGAATAGAAATGCCGCTGGAAGTTGGAACAAATCAATCGCAAAAAAATAATCGGAAGTTTGCTTCCTTTCGCACTTTCTCCAGCTGCTGCGGACCCCTATGCGGAGACGATAAGTGGCCTTGATGCTCCGTATCAACGGTCAGTAATTGCTGCACGCGACCACGTCATGAACCACTACGTGTCCTACTTCAAACAAGGCTTGCAGCACTACAAGGACCTGGGCAACAGGTTGATCGACGAAGAGCAAAGGTGGAAGAAACAATGGGAGGTGATACAGCAGGAGTCCCACATGACCCAGCCTCAGAAAGCCGAGGAAAACGTCGACGAAGATGACAAGTCGACGACCAATTCACGGAGGGGCAAGAACAGCCCAACCCCATCACTCGCCAAGAAGGGAAGAAGAAATCCAGGCAAGGAGTCGAGCGCCGACCACGACCGCAGCGCAATCCATTCCCAAAAGACGACCAGGAAACAGAAGACCGAGGACCAACAAGGCAAGAAAACACCTTCTCAACCCTCGTCAAAACCAGGGTCGGCAAGAGCAGCGGGGAAGACTGCTGCCACCTAAATGTCCAGGTGCAATGCAGCATGCCGTACAACTAAGGCCACCAGCTAGCACGAGCCCGGCGCAGATGCTGCATTGGGGTCTGGCACACGGCAGCCGCCCGCCCGCTCACCCACTAGGCCCGGGCGCAACGACTGCTGCTCAACAACTGTCTACTCCCCCACAACAAGTGGGGCAACAGCATGGAGACTACCAATTTAAGACGCCCCCTAACCAAAACCAGTGATTGCTCACGGAGGGACCGTCTTACGCGCACACTGCAGGATGGAAGGTTGCAGCTTGCAAGTGTAAGGCTTTCAGTGAGAAAGAGTTGGGATGAAAAGATGCTGCAGAAAGCCCACAGGATGCGCTAATGGTTGGTTAATTAATAGGTGGTGTCATTTTCGGTGATTTTTTTTCACTGAAACTGCCATATTACCCTCCTGAATTTATGGTCCTGGCCTGGCGAGGGAATCAATGGTACTATGTGCCTCTCTCCAAACAGCTGAGGATGAGAAGATGTTTCTCTGCTGTTCTGCAGAACAAACAGATCGTGTGGAACAGGCGCAGAACGGGCGCAGCATGAAGCGAGGATGCTTTATCTATCCTCTGGTGGAGGACCGGGGGCCGAGCAAGCTAGGAGCATAAAAAGACAACAAGAAGAGGACCCCAGAGGACAAACCAAGAGCAAAAAAAGGCAACAAGAAGAGCACCTGAGGACGAACTAAAAAACATAAAAAGACAAGCAGAGGAGCAGCCGCCAGGATGATGCGGAAGACGGCTGTGTTGACGCAACCCAGTTCAAAGTCACCTCCAGTCAGAGATGGCGATTGGCAGTTGTTCCTGTTATCATCACCATATCCTGGCCGAGGAAAGCAATCAGGATCTTCTTCAACATGCATGGCAGACGCAATGAGCCGGCAGCTCCGGGGTTACACAGGCAGGGCATCCTACCCTCGCCGCCCAACTACAGGCAGGGCAGGGCATCCTACCGTCACCACCCATCTACGACCTGCAGTCATTATCGCTGGGGTTACACAGGCAGGGCATCCTACCATCGCCGCCCAACTACAGGCAGGGCAGGGCATCCTACCGTCGCCACCCAACAACGGGCACGACAGGGCATCCTACCATCGCCACCCATCTACGACCTACAGTCAATATCGCTGTATCTAGACTGAAATTTAGCCCAGACACAGCTATGAAGTATTTTGTCTTCACTTTCTTCTCGCGTCATGCCCTCCAGCTACAGCAGGAGCAGTAGGGGAAAAACAAAACAAAACAAAACAAGACAAAACAAAGCAATAGGCCAACAGACAAGATTTGGCACTGTGTCAAAGACTAGCTACAGCACCATGTCAGACTACACAAAGCCCACTGCATGGCATTGTCAACCTCGGCTCTTTTTTTTTCTTTTCCCTTTTTCCTTTTATTATAGTCCACTAGTGAGCAATTCACTTGGTTCAATTCCAATACAATTCCGATAAAACTGCATTTCTTTTTTTGTGTTTCAACCGCTTTGTTAATTTTGTCCCCTTCTCTTAGCATATGAGCAGTTGTTTAGGTAAAAGATTATAATAATCATTTACTGTCTCCAACATGGGCTCAGTGAAATTGAATTCTCCATTCCCAAAAAAAAAAAAAAAAAAAAAAAAAGAATTCTCCGTGAAGATGCGGAATACCAACGGACGGCTAGAGGCTAAGACCCTGTGCACCTTTACTATAGCTTTGCATTGACAACCTCGATTGAATGTGTATGATAGGTGGACCTCTTTAACATTTTTTTTGCATTTTTGCAATACAGGGATGCGATGGTCACTAATGTCAGGAGAGTCAGAACACACACCAAAACAAAGAGCAAAAAGACTATCCTGTGTGTCTTTCACTCCAATAACTGTCCACACTGAGAACAACATCAAGGACAAAATTGACGAAAAGGCAGTTGTAACTTCTACCATTCTACGTTCCTAACCCTTCTTGAGACAGAGAAAATAGAAAATGCAATCCACCCATCTCCACAGAGTAAGATCTATATTTACTTTGCAAGGGTTGCATCAGCCGCCGCCTGGCCTGGCCGTGTCCACACTGCGAAAAAAATTAAGGACAAAATTAACCAAAAGGCAGTTGTTAAGTTGTAACCCTTCTTGGGACAGAGAAAATGCAATCCACCCATCTCCACAGAGTAAGATCTATATTTTCTTTTCGAGGGTTGCATCGGCCGCGGCCTGGCCTGGCCGTGTCCACACTGCGAAAAAAATTAAGGACAAACGATTAACGAAAAGGCAGTTGTTAACTTGTAACCCTTCTTGGGATAGAGAAAATGCAATCCACCAATCTCCACAGCGTACGATCTAATAAGTGTTCCGAGCATGCCGAACCCAAAAGCTTTGCAGAATTAGTAGTGTGTTGTTTGTTGTCACTAGACATCTCTTTTTTTTCACTTATTTTTCAAAGATGAAAAATTCCAGTAACTAGACTGAAGAACGTGAACAAAGCTGCAGGCACATGGAAATTAAATCTAAGCGTGTTTCGAGAAACCACCCATCTCCACAGTGTAAGATCTAAAAGCCTATTTTGGCACTAATCTTTGAAAAAATAAGTGAAAAATGGGATCATCATGTCTAGTAACAAGAAACAACACACTACTAAATTAAATTTCTTATAGCCATTCCAATATAAATAAAAGTAAGTAAACTCATCCAAGCTGCAGGCACATGTTTACATAGATGATAAGATAATTTTCATTTTTAAATAAAAGTAAGTAAGCTCATCCAAACTGCAGGCACATGTTTACATAGATGATAAGATAATTTTCATTTTTTTCACCTTGTTGAAAATCAGAGGGTACTAGTAACCCAAGTTGCTAAGTAAATA